CAACCATCTAATATATCTATATCTATATATAGATATAGATATAGAGAGAGAGAGAGAGAGAGAGAGAGAGAGAGAGAGAGAGAGAGAGAGAGAGAGAGAGAGAGAGAGAGAGAGAGAGAGAGAGAGACACAGACAGTATCTCACAAAAAGTGAATACACCTCTCATATTTTAAATTTTTTTTATAAATATTTGATTATATCTTTTCATGTAACAACACTGAAGAAATGACCCTGATGAGATGAAGATAAACTTATTTGGTTCGGGTGGTGTCAAGCGTGTGTGGTGGCAACCAGGTGAGGAATACAAAGACAAGTTTGTCTTGCCTACAGTGAAGCATGGTGGTGTGAGTGTCATGGTCTGAGGCTGCATGAGTGCTGCTGGCACTGGGGAGCTACAGTTCACTGAGGGAACCATAAATGCCAACATGTACTGTGACATACTGAAGCAGAGCATGATCCCCTCCCTCCGGAGACAGGGCCGCAGGGCAGTATTCCAACATGATAACGACCCCAAGCACACCTCCAAGACAACTACTGCCTTTCTAAAGAAGCTGAGGGTAAAGGTGATGGACTGGCCAAGCAAGTCTCCAGACCTAAACCCTATTGAGCATCTGTGGGGCATCCTCAAACGGAAGGTGGAGGAGCGCAAGGTCTCTAACATCCACTAGCTCCGTGATGTCGTCTTGGAGGAGTGGAAGAGGGCTCCAGTGGCAACCTGTGAAGCTCTGGCAAACTCCATACCCAAAAGGGGTTAAGGCAGTGCTGGAAAATAATGGTGGCCACACAAAACATTGACACTCTGGGATCAAATTTGACATTTTCACTCAGGGGTGTACTCACTTTTGTTGCCAGCAGTTTAGACATTAATGACTGAGTAATGTGTTATTTTGAGGGGAAAGCAAACTGACACTGTTATACAAGCTGTAAACTCACTACTTTACATTGTAGCGAAGTGTCCTCTCTTCAGTGTTAAAGATATGAAATGATATAATCAAATATTTACAAAAATATGAGGGTGTCCTCACTTTTGTGAGATACTGCATGTGTGGCGTTCTGATATCATCCTGAGTCTTGGACAGTGTAAGCATCAATTAGTAAGGTTAAGTCCTTCTTGATCCACTGTGGAAAGAAACTTTGATTCTGAAGGAAAAAACACGAATACTGAAAGCTTTGTGCACCACCGATGACCATGGCACAATCCAGAGCACTTTAAAATCTGCATGATTGTGTAGTTCTGATGAAGAACGCATGTAGTGGCGTATGGATTTACCTCTGGAATCCAGAGGGCACACACTACGTGCGCCCAGCGTGCATCGTCTGTCTGTTTGAAAGCGCCTCCCTTGTTGGGACAGAGAGCACAGTCCACAGCCCTACTTGGCGACTGCAGACAGCGGCGACATAACCACTGGCCCTCTGGGATGTAGGGCACACCGTAGCACTCTTGGTGTACCGCCAGGTTACACATGTCGCAGAACAGGATCACATTGCTGCTCTGACACTCTCCATCGTTACAGATGCAACAGACAGCATCTTCATCGATTAGGGTATTGGGGTCTGCCTGGGAGAAAAGAGGATCAGGAAAGATCAGAGTTGGACGTATTCCATATTTTTCAGCGTTAAAATATTATTTTCCTCTCACTTTCAGAGTTCAAGTACCTTGTTATGGCTTTCGAAGTAGGACTCCTTCTCCAAGCGGTCCATGAGGTACTCAAAGACCTCCTGAGGGATGGGTGTCACACCGTCACGCCGCCGCTTGTCGTTCATAATGTCAAGCCAGATGTAGTCCTCCTCATCAATGTCATACTCAACCTCCTCATCCAGCTCCTCCACAGACTTATCAATGTACCTGAACACCAGAGTTGTAAAGAAGAGGAAAAATGTTTATCACATTATAGTACATGTGTAGAAAAGAGGTGTACGTTAACTTTCTAAAATAATACAAATAACAACAGAGGAATCTGAAGTCAAATCAATTTCATGATACATGCATGACAATGAGCTGTACAGCTGCAAACAAACTGGTGATTGACTGTTAAAATGTGTGCTTTTAATATTTATGTCTCACTATATCTATTTTCTGTGTAAACAAGATGCATCCTGTACACATGCACCCCATTTCAAATTGCCTGTCATGTACTAAACAATGATCCTGCTACTAATTCTCATACCCTGTAATTATTAATGAACCAGATTATAATTCTGAACGCAGACCTGTAGTAAGACAATGGCCGAGGAGGGGCATCAGGTCTCTCCTGGTCCAGTTCTCTGAAGACCGCCTCAGGGAGCTTGACTGCAGGCCCGGACTGAGTACTGTGATGATGAGATGAGCCATCCTTCTTCTTTTCTTTGCTCTTATGCTTCCCGGACTTTGGGGTGGATTTGCCCCCATTAGAAGATGCGATATCTGGGCGGTCCTTGCCGCTACCTCCTAACTCGCTACCTCCACCTCCACCATCACTGCCGTTACACACCCCTCCACCACTACCACCAGTACCAGATGGAGGAGCATCCTCTCCATCGCTGTCTTCCTCTGACACCACATCAATGTTCTCAAAGATGCTAATGCGGTGGATCCGTCCCTGGATCTCCAGCTCCACCATGCGCTGTGCCTGGGCGTAAGTCATAGTCTCTCTGCCCGGGGAGTGAGAGCGATCTGACCGGTTGGGGCTGCCAGGTGTGTTTCCCCCGTGCCCCAGTCCTCCACCTCCGTTACCTCCACCATCGTCCGTGTCCCCTGACCCAGCCAATGAGGCGCGAGGAGGCCGCCCCTTTCTCCTCTTCTGGGGCACAGCCTGTGCAGGAGTTGGGTTGTCGTGGTCATAGTGGTAAAGGTGATACTCAATGCCACTGTAGCTCTTGTAGACCTTACGGCAAGTCTCCACAGGGCACTCATAAGGGGGCTTGGTGGCCCGCAGATTGTGACAGAATGTCTTTACATCAAAGTCCAGCCCCATTGTGCCAACAGCCACTGCTGGGACAGATGCTGTTCAAGTTTACATCTGAAAGAAAGGAAAACAATGGAGGACCATGGGATCAGTATGGAGGATTACATACAGATTTCTATCTAATGTTACAAAATACAATACATTAGTTAACATAAATACTAAATTAACTACTATCTCTATAGCCGTCAGACAGCAGTCTAGACAAGTCGTGCCTGCACACTGTGCACCTGTTATGGTGCAGTCACGTGACCGTGTCCCCTACTCCCAGTAGCAAACATATTATGTTGTTAGGTCACACAATAACAGGTGCAGTTTATGTTAATATTTTTGCTTCTGTTCCTTGCTAACTTACAGCTGTGTCAAGTTAATGTGCAGATAAACACACAACAGTGAGTCTAGTTGACAGTAGTGTCATGCCGATCAGAGCCAATGAGTTAAAGCAATATCTGGGTAATTTAAGACAACAGTTCACAGGACGAAAGTCAGTTAAAATCCCAAAGCTAACCACAGGATTTGAGGCACTCTTATGCAGCTAACGTTAGCCATAGCACTGATGCTTCCTCCTCAAACAATGACACATTGCAGCCTGACGCTACTAGCCAGCAAGCTAACAGCAGCTAGCAAACAACAACACCAATTCACTCTCGAAACAACATAGCTACAGAGAATATAGATTATACTCACGAGTTAATGCTGCAAAGTTGCTACTGCTAGCTTCTGTTCATTTTTCATTTTAAATGACGGCGTTTCATTCATCTCGGCAACGTTAACCACGTTTGTCAAATTCGCGTGCTAAATTGTAACGTTAGCTGTATACACAGGGCAGACGTTAGCTACACAAAGATGAGTCACTTCAATGTTACAGAGCTTTTTTATCATTCATAATAAATACTAACCAATGAGTGTTTAAAGTTACACACATTGTAGCCTGTCTGTAACTTAAATGACCATTCAGCCCTCTAACGTTACAGTGTTTCCCTCCACAATGACCTCACCCTGTGAATCCCAGATACTGAGTAGGAAAATGACAGCATAACCTTTAATTTCATGTTACCACACCAATACAGCATGTGTGACCATTAGTATTACTTCATTAAATAGCCACGGTCAACCAACCAATTACTTGTCCTTCAGTGTTGCGAAATATCCCTGAAATGTTGTGCGATACGAGGTGAATTGCCAGGTTTGGTTGTTTTGCAGTCCGTGTCTCCGGGGTACAGTGGGTTAACATGGAAAACTGAAATTAGCTAAAAGTACAACTACAATTTAGTTTTCAATTGTACAAATGTGACCCAATTTTCCACAAAACAAGCCTTCAATCGCAAACGCTGCAGATCTGGACTAACGTTACAAACACTTACTACTCCACGTTCCTCAAGACTGCGTGCTTCGGAAACCTCACACCAGGTCGGAAGGGTCGCAGATCGATTTTAATTAATTAGATAATCCAAAAATGAGACCATAGCAGGCGTAGGTACAGTGAAATGTTTTTAATTAAACAATATCCCGATCATTTCATTGTGTTGTTGGGAATAATTCAGGAACTCGGTTGAACAAAAGGGGCAACCGTTGCTGTAACGTTACGCCGCAGACGCGGGTTGACACATTCGCCACACAAAGCAGGGTCTATTTCTCGGCATTTGGTATTTAAATATAGCCTATGTGCACATTTGACCAATATTTTATAATATCATAAATCATATTCTGTACGACACGCCTTTTGAATAATTTATTTTTAATTTCTACTCGACCGATCATTTCCCACAGGGTATTTTCATTTTGCGTTGAATGTTGCGAATCTGTCGCTTTGTTTCAAAGATGTCCGCAAGAGTGAAAACATTAACGCACGTCACACTTTCAAATAAGTCTACAAACACATCCTTTATAGCAATGCTATATCTATATGTATAAAAATAATACCACGCCTGATGCATCATTTATTGACGCAACGTATCCTTATTGTTTATCATAATTCCATGCAACATAACCTTGTAACTAATCAGAAATATACTTTAATTAGATAGCCTAGAGAAATAAAAACAATGAAACACACCATCAAGCACAAAATAATATTTATTTCTCTCTCAACATACAGTCTGTGATTCGAGTGCAGCAGGGTAGGGTGGGGTAATGCAGTGGGACTTCATGGCAGGCAAAAGCAATCCCACACAGTTAAACCAGGTGGCAATGTTGTCCAGAGAGAAGCGAGATGGGCAGAGCAGGAAGTATCTGCTCCTTCTCTGTGCATTTCAGCTCTCCCCTTTTGATCACTGCATCCAAAAGAGTTAGCCAGCAATAGTTACTCCATCTTCTGCTCCCCATGAGTTAGCAGAGGGAGGTGGAACAAAATATACCAGATACAAGTGACAGAGAACAGAAATCTCTTACTACTGGAAGTATTTCACCAAAGCAGAAGACTCTGCATAGTATCCTATAAAAGTCCAATTCAAACCGAATTGATGGAATAATATACATCAAAGCAACCCCTCCACCACCACCACTAAACAGTCAAACAAAACAAAACGTACAAATATAGACTACAAGAAAACTGTACAGTTCACAGCTTGGCAGGATTGGGGTGCTGAAACGTTTCAAATGTGTTGTGGAGATGTGACATCTCTAACCACAGTAGCTGTATTGTTTATCTTTGCGTTGTGCAACATGAAAAGTCAGCCATGCTTGTCAGTGATAAAAAATTACAGGCGGTGAAACTTACTATATACACAGTGTAGGAAACTCTTTAAACATTGGTTAGACATTAGGGAGACTATATCTTGTGCAAATCTCCCACATCAAGTATCGTTTGAATTTTTCAATATATTATTGAAAAGAAAATGACCAAAAAAAGCTGCCATCACAAGCAACCTTGGAAATAAACAACAACAAAATTTCAACAAGGCAATAACACTGCTTTGTCTTGTTTGTTAATTTGAGGACTTTAATTTAAGTACCATCTTATGTGAATTGAATCCATTACTGTACAGTGGAATCACCTCAGACAATAGCAGCAGCATTAAAAAAAAAAAAAAAAAAAAAAATCAAGCTTTAAACATCAGATCATTTAAAAACGTCAGATTTCACTGGTGTTTGCACAAAACATTTTACAGTGTATGCTGAGTAATAGGACAGCCAAGTTGAAAGTACATTTAGCAGTAGTGACGACTTCAGAGTATTAGCTTGGTGGTTTGTAATGTTTACACTTTGCCTGGTAAATTAACGTCTGTTGTTTTGTGATTTTGTAACTTAGTTCAACTTTTCACTTGCTCCTGTTGCACACATCTGTGATAAGGCTTGTGGCAAGGCCACTATCAAAGCTTTGTGGAGGGGTTAAATTGCACTTTTAAGCCTCAAAAATTCACATATTAATTGCTACATTCTGATCAGAACACTACCAGAGGCATATACTGTAGAAAGAACTACATACAGTAAATATGGCTCTGAACCCTTTCCTCTGAGCACAAGGCTACAACACTGCCAACTCATGTGCTGTCCAATGCATCAGTTGTCCTATCAAAAAAAAAAAAAGAGGCCGCATCCAACTGAACCATTTGACCTGAAAGAGTGGATTTTGGCTGCTGGCTTAATATTTATTTTCCCTTCTCTCATCAGTCTTACATTAACCATTTGTTTCTGCAAGGCAACGGTACATCTCACCACTATGGCATTCCATCTGTCACAGGGGTGGAAAGTAAACAAGGGTTAAAACATAATTTTATTATTTAAATAAGAGCATATACTGTGTTTATAGTGCAGTACTACAAGGGCATTCATATGTAAACCAAAAAAAGTGTCCGCAACGCATTAAAAAAAATAAAAAAGGAGACTGCACTAAAGCTACCATCAAATAAAATAACTTAGATGCAGAAATGCTTTGATGCAGAGATGCTTTGCTTCACAGAAGAAAAAACTAAACATAAATCAATGTTCAAGGCACTACATTCCTTCTTTGTCATAAATACTGTCCCGTTATTGTATCTCAAACCACTGGTATTAGGATTCAAATGTAGTGTTTAACATCTACGTAACACAGAAAGGCTAAATCCTTGTGACAGCTGAAGTGATAAAAGAATAAAGTGAAATATGTTTTCGTGACCGCAGACAAAATGTCTCGTATGGCTGAGTTTAGTCAAGACCGAAGCCAAAAAGCATTAGGTATTCAGGCATACATACTTAACATGTACTGTATAGTATACACACACACACACACACACACACACACACACACTCTCACTCACTCACTCAACTGACTACAGATATATGTGTTGTATAAAGAATACCAACACTTGCGTCATGTTATTTACAAGATCAGATTATGTACATGTGTGGCTCTGGTGAAACAGAGCGGAGTTGGACTGTCCTGCCTATACACACTTACACATTTTTGTTAACAATTTAAGTAGTCCTTGTGGTTTTTGGACAGGGGCCATTCTCAGGGTCATGCATTACCAGAGGGTAGGCTTTGATGCCTGGGTTTGCCATTGTGGCATAGGGCATCATACTTGCAGCACCAAGCAGGCCTACTGGACCCATGGAGCCTACGGGACTAGGCATGCCAGGCCACGGCTGAGGGTAAAGAGGACCAGGAACCATCCCACCGTAGGAGCCTGCTGGCAAAAGGAACCCAGGAGAGAGCTTTGTTGAGGAGTTGGGACTAGGAGTTAGGGTTGTTGGCACACCAGGGCCTAAAGCAGCAGTCAGGGGGCAGGTAAGAGGCAGCTTGAAGTTGCTGGGACCAACATGGCATTTCATCTGAAACAGAAGGGAGTTGTTGTACAAAGTAGTGCATAGACCGCCTCATAAGTACCTCAAATGTCATAGATTAAAGTGCCACTCAAAATCTGATCCCAGAGTGCACGTCCATTTCGAATACCTCATGTGTAGCTGCTCCCATGGGTGGCGCCCTGCCCTCCAGGTCCTGCTGGCGTCTCTGCTGTTTGATCTGATTCAGGGAGGGGCGCGGCTGATTGGCTGCCGCAACAGTCTCCCTTGTCCAGTCATCGACCAGTTTGTGAAGGTCGTCGGTGAACGTGCCTCTCTTGTTGTTGCTGTTGTTGGTCTGGACCTGAGCAAGCCGTGGGATTGGCTGAGGAGACAGCGAGGGTGTGGCTGCTGTGAATGACGGCTGTGGCTGGCTGGAGGCCATCTGCGCTGTAGCGGTGCTCAGAGAAGACCCTGAAAAGACACAAAGGTCTTAAAGATCTGGCCAGTTCAAAAAAAATTTGACCGTCAAATCAATTGGCTGCTGTATGGCGTAATTTCAGGCACTTCTGACACAATGAACCTATGATATCACTTGAAGAATAGTCCCAATGGTTTTGTTGAGGCCAGATACAACTTATTTACTGACACATTTTGCCAACATAGCAGCCAAAGGATTGCAACATACAAGACTTGATAAGTAGTTGTAGACAAATGAAATGTTTGATATGCAAGCAATGACAAAATTCAGCAATCAAGAAACTAACACCGCCATGCATAACAACAAACACAAATTAATGCAAAAATCTGCAGAGTACCAACATATTCAACAATAACTGCCACATTTTCAAAGTGCCGAAACAAAGAAAAAAAAAAAGAAAATAAAGTGCACACACAAACATAAGGAGGACTAAGAAAGACAGAGAGTAAGAAAGTAAATGAGATAGTTACTACTACTGCGCTCTTTGCCTAGACATAGTCGTTTCAGAGTGGACCCTATAAAAAGGTAAAACAGCACAAGACAGAAACAGTTAGGCTAGGACACACTGCACACCACAAGTATGTGGACAAGCTGCTTCAAAAGCACATTGAGCTATCAAAACAATTTTGGGAGAGAGATAGAGGAAGAGGAGGACAAGGGGTTTAAAAATCAGTGAGGGCGATTGGAAGAAAGACCCTAGGTGTTCTCTTTAAAATGGGCAGTCATTGTAGAAGTGTCCCTGACAAGCCTAAGAGATCACACCTAGTCTCAGTTTGTGATGTTGCATGTTAATTCGTTCCTGCATTTCTAGCAACCTTGTCAGGATGAAGACCATCATATTTTATGCTGCCTTGTAAATTAACCTTTTGAAAACAAATCAAAAGGTTTTCTTTTTTTTAACAATGTTGTGTGGGGACAGAACTATCATCTTAAATGCATTTACAATAAAGAATGATCTTTCTTTATTTATTTGTTTGTAACATTTAGTATGACTAATTGGTCAATAAGTTAGGAAAGGAGAGACCATAACAAGATTATAGTGATTTCTAAGAACGGAAGACTGGAGCCTGGATTAAAAAGAGATCCCTTTGTCGATGTGAGAATGCCTGTGAAACAAAAATGTGAAACCAAAATAAATCAAACTTAAAAGAGCACACAGATACTAGCTGGAAATCAGAGTTAGCACTTGTCGGAAACATGCAGGTAACTCAGGAGAGGTGGAAGGAGAGAGAAAAAAAAAAAGTAGTAATATTGATGATACAGCCCTTCGTATGGCGGAGCAAGTCTCCCATCAGTGCCCTGCTTGGCGCCTGCACCATGCACGTCGTCTCCGTCCAAACATGAGGGACAGAGAGAGCTCTCCTCTACCACAGTAAAAGAGCCATGCCTATCAGGGAAGGGCTGGATGGGGGGCGAGGGGGGTCCTCTGTGTTAGTATACAGAGGATTGCTGACTTGGGCAAAGTGCCTTGACTTGGGATGTTCTACAATCAAAATTAACAGTGGATGGAAACACACAACAAATATATAGGGTATAAAGGCTTTGGCATTCTCTCACAGATGTACACACACACACACACACACACACACAGTCTTGTTTTAGATCTGACCTCAGGCCCATGTTTGGAGAGAACTAGCACCAGTGTGCTTGTGGGGTCTATTTTTTAAAGCCAAAAGCACTGCACAAAGCATTTGTATGAAGGGGGGGGGTTAATACCCACAAATGAATAGTTATGAATGTAACTGTGGTTGATTGCCAGAGGAAAGACTGTGTACAGATAAATACCTATGACATCAAAGTTACTTGCAGCCTGGGTACTGGAGGCCACACACAAAGATTTATAAGAGGCTTGCACACCCTGGATATGTTTCCTTTTCATCACGCCAACAAATGGAATGGTGGCCAGACACTCTGGGGATATTCTGAATTCATAGAACCATAGTCACCATTTTTGTTCTGCTTCATTCTTTGACCACCACAGACACTGCTTCCCACCTGGAGGACTAATAGCAAAATCTTTATCAAGATGTATTATTCACAGAACACTGTGGGGGTGTCTGTAAGATGACTGTTGCTACAGCAATACGTGCCGATATTTATACCATGCAAGTGCACACATTTGCAAAAAACCATACAGTTGGTGCACAAATAACTCAAGACTACCCAGTGATGCAGACCAGGAGGTGGAAACCTTCTGAACCTGTATTCATCAACAATATTTTCAACAATCAATTTAGAAACCAACTGCTTTGATAAGGCATAGCCTCTTATTTCAGTGTAACATACAAAACAAATCAGACCACTGAAATCCACCTCAATCTAAATACCGATCAACAATCTAAGTCGTCCTGCAAGCTGTCAGTATACATTTTTAAAAATGTATTTTCAAGTGTGTGCCATTCCATTTGAATTGGTGTTGAATTCTGTTAAACATGCGTAGACTGCTGTCTGCCAGTGTCTTTCTTGATACCACCACTGGGCGGCACCAACATCACAAAAAAAATCTAATTCTAAACGTAGTGCCTTCAATCAAACTGAAATAATGGCACATATACAAATAATATACGGATAACTGTACACAAACACATTTACACCAGTTGCAATGTTCAACAGCAGTAACTGGTGAAGGGAATTCCAGCAAAGTCATAAGCCAAAACACAAGCTACACATAAATATGACCTACTTTACTGATCACTTGAAGGTGAAAAGGAAACGCATCCTGGCTGCTTAAGTCTCTGATTCTGGTGGTGTGTGACTATGTAAGCTAGATTCAGTTGACTTTGTAGATATGAGATTTGAATACCAACATCATGTGTGCATGTGATGGATATCCTCTGGCGGTCAGGAAAAATAAATAAAACATAAAAAAAAATACCATACAGAATACAAGCTTTGAGGTTGTTAAGGGAGGGTGGGAAAAGAAAATGGTGATGTATGTCAGGTGAGGAGGCCTGTGAGGAGGATGAAATAGAAGATCCACTATATCACATATTTAAAAACAGAAAATTGGTTGATAGAATAAATAGGCAGGTTAAATAAAGAGAAGATGGAAATGAGTGAGGAGGAAATAGAAAAGAACAAATACAAACAGATGGACAGAGACACAGGTCCACTGAGGAATCTAGTGCGTGGTTTGCTACTAGATTTATAGGTGACTCTCTCTGACGTTTGGTGGTAAACCGTCCAGCCTGTAAAAATGAATATAAGAGGGAAGAAGAGAAGAAACAAGAGAAATACTTTGTAATAGTGCACGGAGACTGGGATGAGAAACCCCCACCATCAAAAGCACCAGCAAAAGGATATTAAGAAGGAGTGCACGATATGTAGGATCCCACTAAATTGTCTGGTAATTAATGGGAATTTTCAGCCAATTATTACAACTGGTAAAAGACTCTCTTATTAGGGGGGGACAACAACTATAGAGTAAGGGTATTGTGGCTGTGTCCTTGGGTTTTGACGCTCATATTATTTGTTTGTTTTTACCAATAAAGTGTTTATAGCTTGGGTTATTTTCAACACCTGTTCATAGAAGAGGTTTTATGTCATGGCATAAAATCAGAAAATACACATCTCAGAATAAAATGTAGTTAAAAAACAAAAGTGAAATTATATTAAAAAATTCATCAAATAATGAGTAAATCAATAAATTGAGAAATCAGCCAGTTAGGTTTCACAAAGATAGACTACAAAGTAGACTATAGTACAGTGTCCAACCTTTTAGCCTTTAAATGCGTCAGTCTCCATTTTTGTGCAACTGTCTAACTTGCAGTAGACTAATACCTGGCTTGGTTAATCATTTGGTTATATAATGGCTACTGAGAAAACACTGAGTAGTATTTATTAATAAGTATTATTTATTATCAAATCCATATCCTCTATACTGTGCATGAAACTATGGATCACTTTCCATGTTTTCCATTATTTTATTTTTTATGTTTAGTATCTGTGTACAGAAGTTCTTGGATGTTTTATTTCCCTTAATGCTACATAAACAAAGTATGACTTTTATTTAATGTGAACTTGTTTAAAAACGCTTAAATTATTGGAAAGAGTGCCAACCTCAGCCTTTACACAATTATTTCACATCAGTGATCCGTATTACTTGCAACGCAGATGGTATATACCCGGGCCCAACGCACATATGCATTAGTAACAGATGCTAGCCATCTGATAAGTAAATATAAAAATGTGTATGTTTAACATATGGCTTTAATTTTAAATACATAGTATTTTAAGTGGTCCTACATACAGTATGAAATTAACAGTTCAGTTAAAATGAGGTGGTCCTGTTTGTGTCTATAATCCTTCAGGATGAGACTCTTGATCTGTCTACTTGCAAAATGTTGTCCATGGACAGAATGGACAACATCAACACATTTACCTTAGCCCTAGTGGCTGTTGTAGATAGCATGTCCCATTCACACACACACACACACACACACGCACATGAACCTATAATGTGTACCTTGACCAGTGCCAGCTTGGTTGGCCGTTCCATCACCATGTAGTCCAGCGTAGATGTTGTCTGAGGAGAAAGAGCCTTTCAAGGAACAGGGTTGCTGGGTGTGGACCTGCTCTGGGGCGGTGCTGGGCTGATTGCTAGAGCTGGAGCTGCCACTGGAGTGGGCAGAGCCATCTGACAGAACTGAACTTTTAGCAGGGGAGCCAGATGAACTGGCAGCACTTTCACCTTGGTGCAAAAAAAGGGGGAAAAATGAAAAAAGGGTGAGTCAGAGTGAATCACTTGGTGAATCACACACTCCTGCTATTTTCTGTACACAACGCCATTCCTGTGTTTTTCACTTGTGTTTCAGACTGAAGCTGCTCTCCCATGCACACAAATCATCACATAAACCACTTATCACCCCACCATCCCAACCCACACACCTTTCCTCTCTGTGGAAGTGTTAAGATTGTTTTTGAGCTGCTGCACCATCGGATTGAGTAGTTTTCCAGCCTTCAGCTTGTGTTTGCTGGCCCTGCGCCTTCGACCACTTGGGGGTGCAGCGTGAAGTAGTCCGACATTGGGGGGCAATGTTTTTCCCAGCTCCTTGTACAGTCGCTCAATCTCATTCCTCTGGAACGCCTGCAGCTCAGAGATCTCCTTCATGTGTCTAGTGAGAAGGTACAGGGAGAGAACAGAGAGAAATTAACTTAAAATATTTCTGACAGACCGCTAGTCAATTTCATTGTCTTTTTTCCAAGCATTCCCTGAATATTTTACTCCCTATATAGTCCAATAAAGCCTCTGCGTCAAAGGACATCTTCTAACCTGTGTGCCGGATTAATGAGTCATTCAAATACCTCTCCATACATACAGAAACAGGTTGTGTCATCACAACTTACAAACCTCACCTCAGTGGCAACTGATAATTTTTTTACTTACTTTACTTTTGGATTTCTCTGCTACTAGCACAGAAAAACACAGCTACTGGCAGCCTTGCGGAGACATAATGTTACAAAAAGAAATATACATAATTGCAGATTTGTTCTGTCCTGGAATTTGTGAAAAGTGAATGCTTGGAAGTTCATGTAACATTATCTCACCAATTCAGTTTTTTTTTTTTTTTTTTGTTTGAGATATTTTGTGAGCATTTTTGCCTTTATGGTGGATAGGATAGAGAGAGGAAACGAGGGAGAGAGGGGGGATGACATGCAGCAGTGTTTTTTAATGACAAGATTAAGCACACTTATCTTTAAGAACTTGGTAATGTGCCATCTTCTTAATGATCAATAATATTGGGAGAGGATGAGCAGGACACTAATTGTTAAATTTCAATTAACGCTATATCCACCAGAACTCCTAATAACCTTAACATTTAACCCAATAGTGCTAAAATAAATGCTTGGTTGCAGCAATAGTTCTGGCTACTACTGTTGCTGATAAACATTTGAAAACTGGATGAATGTGAGGCATCTTCTATGAATTACATTTGTTTTGCAAATAATGAATTTAGAGCAGTCAGACTGAAAAGTAAGCTCTTACTACTGTAGAAAACAATCACATCTTCTCTCTTAAATAAAAGCCAGTAAAACCAAAGTACTGTTAAGTAACATGCAGAGTTTAGATTCAAAATTGAATAATGTTTCAGGAACACGCTGCTGACAGACTATGCAACACATTTTTGTAGCTGTGGGTGAGTGCGTGTGTGTGTGTACACGTTAGTTTACTTTTCTCTCAGTTTCTGTAGTTCTTTCCTCATATCTGCATCCTCAAACTCGGAGTCATTGTCACTGCTGATGTAGGATGACTGGGCATGTCCTGCAGAAGCTGAAGGAGCGTGACCATTCATTGCCACGGGCTGTCTGCTTGGTGAATCAGAACTCTGCTCACTTTTGCTCCGACCGGAGCGCCGCAGGAAGGCCACTGCCCTCTTCATGAGGTCGCTTCCACTGTGCTCAGACAGGGCATGAGCTGGGGGAGCTGGGTGGGCTGGGGGAAGGGCCACACTACTGCTGTCCTCATCTCCCGAGTCAGAGTAGAGGTGAAAGGAGTGGTGGTAGTGGTGATGGGTTGGAGTGTCGATGGTCTGGGCCCGGGGGATGTGGCGGGGGGTGAGATCCGGGCTGGAAGTGGGGGTGGCCTGGTAGAAGTCCGGTGGGGCAGAGTAACGGTTACTACTTTGGGGTTTGGATGTTCCTGCATTGTCATTATCAGCCGCAGTGGTCACAGAGGACCTGTCCACAGCCACTCCACCCTTCTCTTTCCTGCCTGGGCCCTGGGTCTGGCTGTGTGACCCTCCAGAACCACTAGAGGGAGCTGGAGAACTGCAGGTGCTGCAGCTTGTCTTGCTTTTCTCTAATCGAAAGATTACATCTGGTGGAGTTGGAATGATCTGGAAAGAAGAGAGGCCCATGTTTTTAACAAAATTAGGGCACATAAATATCATCAACCCAAGACAAACAATGGAGTTGTGGCCTTTTGTAAAATTCAATTTGGTCATTTGACACTTATATTGAGCAGATTTGCTCAGAATTTTGAAAGTGGGTTATTACTTGAAAACGGCCTTTGGAGCTGCTGTATGAACTGGAGCTGGTGGTCACATCTCTTCTGTTCAAAACCCTGCTTGTGGCTAAAAGACCAGGAAGAAGACAACAAATGATTCTCAAACCATCATTTGTAATAATGTGATATGGGAATTACATAAATAATGTTACCTACCTGCCACTGCAGAGTCACTTAATGCACCCACACTATCTGTGCGCTCAGGAATCTGAGGCTAACAGAGAAAAAGAGAAGGGTGAGTGAGTGGGAGGAACACTAGATATGCTAAATCAGTGTGGTAAGGGCCAGTCATTATCCTCTCCTGACCTCAGTTTTGTCTGAATGAGTCAGACCCTGATTTGCTTTTGGTAGCCATGCATGCACACAAAGAAACACACAACCTGAAGCTTCCACAGGAAGAGATCATGATGAAGTATCGTGCTGTCAGCAGTAATTTTATTACCCTCCTCTCTTTCTAAACACAGTATTAGTCTTGCCAATAGTCAAATCAATAACACAGTGAAGGGAAACGATTCAATGATGCCGTCATTAACTTAGCTCCTCTCCAATGTCTAAATGCGCAGATCTCTCTCTCATGCACACACAGACACTTATTTTATCATTTATTTTACCAGTAGCTCCACTTTCTTCTTTGAAAGTGCTCCCTCAGTGCTCTGGACGTCTGAGACTGGAGGTGAGCTGACTCCCTCTGTACTGGAGGCCTGGGCGTCAGACGCAGTGCTGGAGGGCTGGCAGGGAGAATGCTCCTGGTACAACAGGTTTCGCAGCTTCTCATCCAAAGTCTTAATGGTGCGGTCAACAAACTCCACCCTGCGTGGCCCCTCGCTGTCCGACTCTCCTGGCCCACCACTCACTGGCTGCTGATGGCTTGAAGGCTGGGAGTTCTGAGAGGGCTGATGTGCTGGACTCTGGGGCTGGGAGGTGACTGTACCAGGCTGAATGGGTGTGGCATAGGGTTGCTGCAGGACCACCGACTGATGGGAGGCAAGCTGAGGGGGTTGTTCTCCAGTTGGACTGAGCTTCTGATTCTGCTGATTAGTTTGAGAGGAGGCCAAACCACCACCAGCTCCTTTATCAATAGCATTCACATCCAGAGAGACAGGTGGCACAATAGGGCAGCATGGCATGTCCGTTACCATAGAGACAGCAGAGATGCATGGCTCTTCCACAGGAAGGGAGTTGCGATGGCTGACACAAGCAGCAGCAAGGGCATGTTTAGTTAGACACGGCTGGGGCTGCTGGATTCGGGCTTTGTCAATATTTTGGTCTTGTTGTTGCACTGAGGTCTGAGCTGCAGGGGGCAGAGAGGAGGAGGATGGACTGTGGGAGGATAAAGATGCGACTGGGGTAGTCACTGCAGTTGTATTGCTGTCGGACCTGACTGATGATGAGGCAGATTTTTCAGGTTCTAGGGAAATAAAAAGGGGAAATTAGGAGGAGAACAGATTTCGAGTTCAACACCAAGACCATGAAGAATAGGAGCTGGGTCCTGTGGGTCCGGGAGTGTTACGTCACTGGTCGTCTTCCCCCATCAGGCTCTGTCAGCTGGAGTATAAAGGCTACCTTTCATTTCTGCCTAGAACTACTGCAGAAGCAGTCTTATATAACTGACCCCAACTGATGAACACACACATGCGTTTACACTATCAACAGAAGCAAGTAAGACACAAACTGTTTAGACTATTCTAGGCACTCCCGGCAGAGCAAGCAAAACCTCACATTAAAAGAATTTCGTTTAGTAAGTAATAAACATGAAGACATGAAGGAAGCGTGAATGAAGTGCATTTCTGAGTGTGAAGCATACCCTGTGCTGTCGAGGTGTGAGATGTAGTCTTCTCTTTGTCTAACATTGGTGTCTCAGCTACAGGGCAGATGATAAACCAACGCTTGCCAGTGTGTAGGACTGTCAAGGACAAAGGGAAAGCAAAAACTCATAAATCTACTTCTACTATAAAATCAATTCAATGGAAAAGCTAAAATTACTGGCTGGCTGCTTTAAAAAGAGGAATGGGAGAATACAGATTTAACTTATTTTGGTATTCTTTAAACCTGGGCCCTATTTTAACATATTTTGTTGTCATAATGACTAGTACAAACAAGATGGTTTGGAATCCACGCTGTAGATGGTTTCAGCCGGCCGCAAACCGGCTGCATTGTTGCAAGAAATGCAACATGGAAACGAGGGAGAGAAGTTTGTTGTGTACATAGAGGAACTGCTAGCAAGACTTTATTTCCTAACATTACTCCAACAAAACAGTCTCCTCTCGCCAACTCATGACTCACTCTGGGTTTACTGTTTGCTGTACTATTATAGGTCTATATTTCACTGTGTGGTGTTTGATGCTTTAATAGGTGAAGACTGTTCCCATGGGAAAGCAGATTGTTAGAGCGTTTCTTATCTGATTGTCCCTGGTAGGTCTTCATCTCAGAACAGTTGGTTTTGACTCCCTTTCTCCATAAGACAGCTGCGTAATACCCTTAGAGTATAAATTCACCTGTTTCTTCACTGGCTCTTTGTCTCTGCAGGCTGGTTGCATTCTCTATTTTTGTCTGACTCTTTGCAAATAATAAAACCCTTAAAGACGTCCAGTCTGAATTCTTTATTACAGAAGACTCACTATAGGAAAATTTCTATTACACCCCGAAGTGATACGTTACAGCCACTGCAAGTGGTTCGCGGCTGGAACCATCTACTGCACAAATTCCAAAACCTTCTGTACTTAATATTCATTTAGACACCAAAATATGTGAAAATATATATAAATAGAGCTTAAATAGAAATAAAAAGTGAGTGGATATTGCTTAAGTGAAGTTCCAGGTGGTTGTAAGTACCATTTTGCTGGTACACCAGCTGTGGGGTGCTGGGTGTGGAAGCTTTCCATCCCTACAGAAAAGACAGGATTAGACACAGATTTGATACATCAATTTAAAAAGCTTCCCCAACCAGTCAAAGAGCTGAACCTCAAAGATTCAGTTAGATCAAAATGTCACATCAGCAAGAGTGGTATTTTTGGCAGCTCTTTCTTCCAGCGTTACATGCAAAGTCATCTCGAGAATGCTATCAGGATTATGTATCTGAGGCACAAGCGCACAGAGACAGATTGCGCCATCTCAACTATTAACTATCAACAGTTCTTTTCTCACCTCAGTTCCCAGTATGCCAGCTCCTTCACTCTGTTTGGGACTGCCTCCCTGGTCAGAGTTTCTCTCACCCTCTGTGTCCTCACTCAGCATGTCCTCAGCCTTGTCCACAATGTCCTTCAGTTGCTCGATGAACACTTCCTTTTCTAAAGGCAGAATGAAATCATTCTCCACCTGAGTGGCACAAGAGAGAAAAAGGTAACAGAAAATGAATGGTTTTAGCTTAACAAGCAATGATTAAAATACAAGCTTAACAAGCAATGATTACAATAACAAGGAGGATAAAAACATTGTTAAGAGTAAATAAAATGACTGCAATTCCATGTATATTCTCTAAATGTAGTTTGCCATCAAGATAAAGCAAATGCTGTCTATTCAATTTAAGGCCTAAGGAAAGCCAAGGACTTCTTTTGCATCATTTGTTTAAGTTTTTATTTACTACTACTTTTTCTAAGCATTTCACATGATAAAAAGGCCAAAGCTTTAAGTAGGTATTTGTCTTAGACCACCTATTTTATACACGATAAGTTGATGGAGCAGTTATGCCATAAATATTCATCTATCTATAAATATAAGCCCAATATGAATTGGTTGAGATTGGAGGAGAGAGAAAGAGCAAGAGCGAGACAGACACAGATTTTTTGCTGCATTGCAGCTAAGAACAGCAACACAGGGAGTTTCAGACTTCTGAGCCATAAGAAAAGATCTCAGGCAATGCACAGCTTACAGCATGCTACAAAAACCTTTGCATCAACTGAAGTAGCAGTGACTTTATTGCCTACATACCATGTATGTAGCAATCTCTTCCGGTGCATCTCCATCCAGGTCAAACTTGAAAGTGACCATTTTATGGTTATGAGTTTCCAACTGACACTCTACCATCTTATCACCAGTGTTACACACCTGCAACAAGAGCAGACACACTTAATACATTTGTCTACTTTAGTTTTCTACATTAGTTTTTAACATGAGCTTAAAGAAGTATGCTCGTTGTTGAAATATATTTTGGTTACCCACATTGAGCATACTAAGCTTTGGCCTGTTGATCTTCTCTTGCCGAGAACGAGTGCGTGTGGACCTGCGATGTTTGCGGACTTTTCCTTCGCCTTTACCTCCATGTGTCCCCTCGTAACCATCACTCATCTCTTTCCCTGACGTGGCATCAGAGTTGACACTGGTTTTGGTGAGGAAAAAAGCAGGTACGTAGGTGTAAGTTTTTACTGAACACACAGCTCTGCATTTAGGTGGGCTTCTGTGGTTTCAAGATTAAAATGTGCCTGCAGTTTTACTCAGTGCCTAACAGAAACTAACAAACGACAAACATGTCCAAAACTGTTATGCCTTAAAAAGATGACAGTTTGACAAAGTGAGAAATCGTAAACAAGACATAATAAATAAAAAGGCAACAATCTCTAACCTGGCAATCTTCTGGGTTCAATAGAAAGTAATCTTGGACTGGCAATGGAAAGAAGCCAATGATCTTTACCTCTCCTGCTTGATATGGAGCTTAGTGAAAACGTTAGGGAAAAGTTTATCGCTGCTCTGGAATGCCTGCAGAATTTGGCAAGCTCCGATATATCAGCCATGGGTGACGCTAAACTCTACATGACCTTAAAGGGAATATAGATTTGTGGGGGATTAGCTACCTGCTATCCATTACCAAGAAACAACTGAACCATCTGAAATTAAAAAGAAGTCTTAGCTGCTGCTGGTCACAATGATACAAAAGACAAACAGATGCCATCATAGTGTTCAGAGTGTGCTCTGGTTTTACACATATGTTTGTGTCTGGCTGGAGAACAGTCAATTGGTCAACACTCTGGCAGAGAAAGTTAGCATAGCCAGATGTCAGCAAGGTCCAAAACAACACAACTAACAGAGTGATAACTTGTTAGTTTTTAGCTTTAGCAACATGGCACTTTTCAGTACATTTGTGTGGTTACTTTAACAGTGTAAACAGTGCTTCTAACTCTTTAAGTCAGTTAGTAAGTAAGAGAGGATGGAAAACTGTTAAAGACCAAATGCGTTGTGTTTACATTCATGTCACTGTTTCTCAGGCAGAATGTTGCTCTGGGGATTAATGTCCATTTGACGGCACCTAAGAGCTGGCTGAGATGACTCATCCAAGATGCATTTCTTAGATTTACAATCACTGACTTGTCACCTGCAAACATGTATAAAGGGAAACAGGCTAGCAAGTACCTGTCACAGCTCTGTCCTCCAGTGTGTTTCTCTGTGGCTTGATCCTACAGACAGAAAAAAAATACAGAAACAAATAACCAGAGAGAAAAAGAGATAAAAAAAAGATAAAAAGAGTGTAACATGTGTCAGACAATGACTTGAGAGTGTGCTGGTATCTTTGCAAATTAAGGTGGGCAGAGGAAGAAATAAGCAGTGACAGTGGGGGACTACCGATGAAAATTAGCACTTTTTAGCTAACGTGGGTACATTTACATTGTTTTAATGTTGATTAATGTACACTGTCCTCTTTCAAAAAAACAACAACAACAACAACTAAAAAGTGTGGGAGTGAGTCATGTCTTCATACCTCCGTGTTGGTGTCTGTTAGACCCTGACCTGCAGCTCCTGTGAGAGTACTGAGCTGTTTCTGCTGAGTCAGACTAGAACTGGTAGACCCAGATGATGCTCTCTGAGAGTCAAAGGGCTGCAGCACAGGAATCTGGCTCTGAAGCTGACTCTGGGACTGGATCTGCAGCTGGCATGGATTCCTGTTGTCTAGCTGGGCAGCAGTGGGGTCTGTGCCCAAGTCTAAACCATTCTGCACAGGTGAGGAGAATACTACAGGTTGGGTGAGCTGAGCAGAGGAGACAAGCTCAGGATGGCTGACCTGGGCCTGCTATAAAAGATAAACAAGATAACACATTATAATTTGTAGTATTAGTACTACTACTACACTGAATTACGTTATCTTGGAAGACTTTAAATCCTTAGTAGACATTTTGAGATATTTAAACATGTGGCTTTTATGCCTTTTCTTGATAAGAATCTCTCAGGATAGGGGTATTTCACAGGATTTTTAATCTATGAAGCACAGAATGCATAACAAAAACATTTTCATCCACATTATTTAATTAATCTGACTTCAATTCATATATGTTCATTATCCTTTAGCCCCATTATCCTTTAGCCCCAGTGCAGTGAAAAGAAGGCTTTCTTTGGGATGCAAAAACTATCTAACAGAGATTATCATAATCAAAAGTTTCAGTTCACACCTTCTTGGTAAACATCTGCTCTCCATTGCAACCATCATAATTACCTGTCTGAGAGGCTGAGTGCTGCCATTTGTGGGAGGGTGTGTGTTCTGGGACAGGGCAGTGTGTGTGTGTATGGGGTGGGTGCTGGTTAGTGCAGATATAAATGCAGGCTGTAAATGAGAAGCTTCAGATCTAACACTTTGCTGCAGAGCAGCAGTGGGCTGGTGCTGTGGGGATGTGGGTCCCACCTTACCCAGTACGGGTGAGGGGGACGGTAGGAGAGACACTGGAATGGGGGAAAGTAACGCGTTTTCAATGTGCAGAGGAGAAGGGGGGGACACAGAGGGGGTCACAGGGAGAGTCTGTCCAGGAGAAAGGAAGATGGGATTAAGAGAAGAAGAGGTTGAAGGGTGAGGGGCAGTGCAGGAGTGAGGGTATGAGGATTCACAGTCAGTCACAGCTGTCATCACCTGGACTGTGGGATACTGTGAAGAAAATGGAAGGGAAAAAGGAAAGAAAAGAAGAAACAGGGGAAAATCAAATAATCTAGACAACAACATCCAAATATAAGAGGAGGATGGCTTCTTTACTTTTATTGGTCTGTATAATCCAAGCAAGAAGACATCCAATTACTGACAATACCTGGGATGGATGTGTTGGTGGTAGAGAGTATGACATCTGCCGAGGTTGGAGTTGTTGCTGGACAGCAGCCGGAGCCATTGACTGTTGAGGAGGAAGTGCCTGGACTGGCACACCAGAAGCTGACTGGCTGAGATTCTGCCCATGGCCCTGTCCATCTTGTCCAAGCAGTGAAATGCTCTGACCGGCAGGAATATTCTACCGAAGAACAAGAAGGAGAGAGAGAAAAAAAGGGAGGAAGTTCAATAATGGCAGGGATTCCAGTTTCATCTTTCAGCTTGGAAATCTGCATTTCCTGTCATTGACCCAGATCACACTAGCTCATAATTTTCCATCCTGTCCCTAAGCCTAGAATCAGTCTGAAGCTGCTGCGCATACTGGAGCACTGTCTACCACAGACTCAGAGCGAGGCTGGGAGGGCTGGCGGATGCAGTGGCTAAAACCACTGTTATTGTTTTCATTACTGTCTCCATTATCTCCCTTATTGGCGGTTGTCCGGGGAAACTCCTGTTTACTGGGCTGTTCCTTTTTTCATTCACCTTCTGTCCACCACCAACACAGCTGCTTCCAATTCAGCTGCGCTAAATCAAAACCGGACATAATAAAATGAGTAGTTCCAAAACAGCACTGTCTGCCATAAATAAAATGTTTAAATGCATTATTTTCTGTCCCTCCCACATTGAGTTCCACAGTGACAGAGTGTTGAGACAAAGGCGTTCTACCTGATTCGGGAAAGCAGCGACGCAAAGATAGGGTTGAAACTGATGAAAAATGAAAATAGGGCAAGGTCAGGAGGAGGAAAAAACAAACATAAAATTCAAACCTGGGGCACTGTGTATGCCACCTGGCTACAATGTACTGTATAATTATCAACATTGTACTCTCACCTGTTGGGTAAGATGTGTAGCCTGACTATGCTGGGTAGAGGCTTGAAGGCTCTGAGGAGTCACTATCTGGTTACCTCCATAGCTCTGTGGAATAGCAGAAGTAGACTGTGCAGGCAGGTAATGGCTCTGAGCTGAAGCAGTCTGTTGCTGTAGTGCATTGAGGGCAGAACGTGCATAGCTTTCAGCATCAGGTAGACCTGCAGCAGGGTAACTCTGGTGTGTGGCTGCAACTTGCTCAAGTGGGGTTGGTGTGGGATGAGGTTGAGGAGCTGGGGTCTGAACTGGTTGGACTGTAGACTGGTATACATCCTGGCTCTGTTGTGGAACTGCTGTCTGCATGGTTTTTTGACTGTGCTTCTGTAGTGTTGGGGTATGTACTTGCTGCTGACCAGGAGACTGGTGGGTAGGCTGTTGTGCCATTTGTTGTTGTATGGCATGCTGAATGTCTTGGCTATGTTGGAGTTGAGGCTGAATATAAGCCTGCCCAGCATGTTGTATTAGTTGTATATTGGACTGAGTGTTTTGCAGTAAGGGCTGTTGGTGCTCTTGCTGAACAGGTATCTGTTGGCTGTAAAGTGCTGGTGTAGAGGAGCTCTGACCAGGCTGCTGACTTGGAGGTCTGACTGCGCCTTGGACCTGTTGCAGCGCGCTGGGAGCTTGTGCAGGATGACACTGGGTTGTGGCTGCCATAGTTGGGGCTACAGATGCTAGAGGGTAGTTTTGTGCTGACTGCTGTGCTGGCAGGGTGGTTGCTGCTGCTGCAATGTGTTGGTGAACTGGAGTAGGATATCCTGATGCAGCTTGGGTCTGTTGCACACTTGGATGTGTGAAGCTAGCAGCACTGACTGTATGCTGGATGTTTACTGAACATAGAGTGGCTGGAGCTGGTGTTCCAGCATTGTGTTGGCCAGCATATGGAGTAGCAGGGTAGCTGTGTCCAGGCTGGAGGTACTGCAGGGGTGTGTGGACTGCTGTGCTGGAAGAAGGCAGGCCCTGGACAGATGGCTGATTCTGGTGTCCTGCCGAACTGGCCTAAGGACAAGGAGGAAAATTCAAATTAGACTATGTTTTGAGTGAATTTTACTGGTCAAGGATAGAATCCACAAAAGGCTGATAAGAGTGCCAATTACATTAAGTCATATTGGATGCAAGTATAATGAGAAGATGAGGAATACAAATAAGTAAATTAAACATCTGTTTCAACAATGAGCAAGTGGTGACAGGTGTGCGCTAAAATAAGGACAAAAGGGAGAAATGGTAGGAGAGACCAAGAGGAGAAAGATCAGACAGGCCACCGCTTTTCCATTTAACCAGAGGCCATCTATCCCAGACGAGCTATGGCGCAAGACAGCTGTAGCATCGGGCCAGTAAAGCAGAAAGGGAAAATGTTAAAAATCTAGGTCAGTTCTGGAAGGCATTGATTAAGGTTAATCAGCAGGGAAACGTGGCCCATTAAAGAATGCTGGTTTGTCCTCCAACAGGCGCAAGCTTATGATTTGTACAAGGGCGGTCAGCTGTGTAGGCCTACGCAGGCAGCAAGACAGTAGACAGGAGATCAGACCACCTCCATGCAGAATAATGCTGCATCTCCTGCAGGCTGGGAGAAATCAGTTAAGCACCTGTTGGCCCCATATGGGAAACTAAAGCGACTAGTTTGCTATTGTGACCTACCACTCCCACAGCCCTGGTAACTTGCTGTTCTTCAGTACATAGTCTATCCACATAGTCCTGGAAGGGTTCCTGGTCCCCAACCAAACTGACACTCAGGAGATGACTCTTCACACTGCTGTCTTCATCACTGCAGGTAGGCCTGCGGTTAGCTGAGGAGTGCAGCAGGGAGGCTTGGGTGGGTGTGGTGTGACAAGGGGCTGCTTTGCGGCTGATTATATTGAACAAGGACTGCTGAAACAGTGAGAAATCGGAACAATCACTTGAACCTTTCAGCCGTCCATAACCAGGGGTAGTCATTGTTCCACCAGAGCATGGGTGGTGTCTCAAGTCACATGGACAGTTGTGTGTTGGCATGACAACAGGAGGACAGCAGAGGCTTGCTTCCCGTGACCTTAGAAGAAGCATAGAGAGGCAAGCCTGGCACACGTGGCTTCTATGCATTAAATGGTGGTTATGATGAGAGGTCAGACTCAGAAGACTACTAAGGTCAGAGTGTCTGCGTCCACTTGGCGCAGGCAGTGTTAAGTTTTCACTGGTGGCTTCTGATGACTGTGTGATGCCGGTGTCACTAAAGCGGCGGTACTCAGAAGGTGAAGATGCAGGGGTGACCAGCAGCATTGGCAAAGCCCTGTGCAGGGGGGCCCCATCCTTAGCCTCTGAGTAAAGCTCAGAGGGGCTGAGTTCCGTCTGATTCTCTGGCACTGTGGGGTTGGGACTGACTGATCTCTGAGACTGAAGGAGGGCACGGCGTTGAGCAATGTGGTTTGCCCTGTGAGTGTCAATAACAGGGGCACTTCCTCTCCGGTCTGCAGCTCCCAATCGAGTCATGAGATCTGGGCTCAGTGTTGCTCCCCATACTTCACCCTTTTCACAGGAGTGAGGTCGATCTGTCAGAGAAGGGCTACTGCTCTGGCACTGATCAAGGAGCAACCCAAAAGTAAAGCACAAGTTACTCAAAATTAAGAGATCATAACCCAAAGATAAATACAAATATGATGAGAACAAACAAGCTTGCTTGCAATGACATAAGAATGTATGAAAAATGCATTTGCATGTAATGTAATGTTAATGAAGACTACAATGTTAAAAACATGTTAATGTTAAATATGTTATTTAGTGTGTATTTTAGTATGTCTGAATGTACATGGTCCGCTCGGGTGTGTTTGCTACTGATACGGACCTGCTGTGTTGCCATAGTAATAGGCTCCAACAGGGACTGGTAGAGGACACTCTGCTGGCTGCTGTGGGAGTCTGAGTACACAGTGGACCCCATGCCACTGTCAAGTGTGCCGTCTGCTGCAGAGACACACAAATCATGCACTCATAAATCTGTCAAAGATTAAGCTCATTTGTTTCTAGTGAAGAACAGATTCTCTTACATGTCACTGAAGTGGCACTTGCTGGTAGGTTACGCAGCCTGTTGTGCTGGTCTGCCTCTGGCTCTTCTGGTTCCAGCAAAGGCTGTCCTGCACGCACCACACCAGCAGAGATGCCCTGAGATGGTGTCATCTGGACCCGGTGTCCCCCTTCACCATGATCCTCTGCAAGTGCAGCAGACACTGTTCTCTCTCTTCTCCATTTGATCAGTGCCACACGGTCCCTGATCGACTTTCCCACAGTCTTAGCATCACTCTCATGGAAGAAGCCAGACTCAACCTGACAAAGAAAAGGAAGAGCATGACTTCCAGGATATTTTTAGCATTGAGCATGTGAGAGAAAGAAAGGGTGCACTAAGAAGGGGAGCATGAAAAGGAAGAAAAGGAAAATCTATTTTAAGGGGATAAGAGCAGTAGGGAACTATTCCTTTTGTCAGGAGCTTGGTTCACTGTTCACAACAGAACTGTCTTGACTGTTACATCTGCAAATAACGATGGAGACACTATGCATAGAACACATGTTGTTCATGGTATAAAACGTAATTTAAAAACATAGTATTTAGGTATTATTTAGCACAAAAGCCAGATTGAATTAACCAAAAAAAGGGAGATATTGGCCCATCAACAGAGACAAATCACATCTCTCATGTTGCCTGTTTAGAGAAATTACTCAGAGTGGAGGAGGAGTGACTTGGCACGGGAGCATGCTGGCCATACAATCTCATTGTACTGTTGGTCCACATGTCCATTCTCATTCCCAAGGCGATTAAAGAGAGGCCTTCAGTTTTTTTTTTTCGCCCAGCTTCACAGCCTGGTCAAGGCCAAAACAGCACAGGAAAATGAGAGGGAGAGAGAGCAGACAGGAAAGAGGGAAAGAGATGCATGGGAAAAAAGAGAGAGCACCAAGGAAAAGAAAGACATTTGTTAAAACAAGAGACTGTAAATCCACCTTACAAAAGTGATTAATATGCAGACCTCTCAGATGACTAAACTTCTGTCTTTCATGTCTTTACTTACACATGATGTGCAAGCACACTGTGATAGCCCCATATCTTGTGTACTGTGTGTGTGTCAGTTTATTATTGTTAAGTTTGGTGTGCATCTCCCTTCTTTGTTGTCACTCACACATTGGAGACTTCTTTGTGCAATATCTGATAACACATTGCAGATGCTGCTCAGTCCTGAAGCAATACATAGGCTTAGTTTAAATCTGTTTCAAAGTTTGTTTGTTTGAGGCCATTTTGAATAGCCCCACCAAAAGGACAATGCTGAAAGAACTTATCCTCCATGTACATGTCTCACTGACAATTTGGTCCATCTAGTATTCCTGATAATGTGTACCAGTTTTAGTTTTCCAACAACAAAAACTGTTTAAGGCTGTTAAAGAACAAAGCATTCTTCAGTTAAGTCGAGCTGTGTGTTAGCTCAGTCTCTCCTAATCATACCCCAATAAATACTTGGTGCATGGTGCTGCAGAATGTTAGATGAGTGAAAGAAATGCTCAAGGTCGTTATTATGATGACTCCCACAATGAGAGAAATCTTCACTAAACGGCATCAGATAAGATACTCACAGGCCCTGTAATAAAAACCTGGCCCAGAAAAACTGGAGAAAACCATGTAAACAAAAGGGAAAAAAATAAAACCGCAATCACTGTATTCCTGGAACAGCAGAGTAAGTTATCACTAGCAATCTGCATTTGAGTGCATTCCCCGATGATGAGATAGGAGTACTCCCAGCAGCTAGAACACACCAAGCCACAAAGACATGCAAAGCATGGCAAACTGCATAACTAGCATGGGTTAAAACTAATTTATTACTGAAACTAAAATTATTCAAAGGATTTTGAAAAGGTGAAAACATCTAGATGACAAGTCAATATTTTTAAAAGATAGACAGCACAGTGTAAAACAGACATACATAAAACAAGTCACAGGATTCCAATTTATCTTCAAATATTTCAATTTTTTTTTAAGCATTTGAGTTAGTTAGCATAGTTCTTCTGACTATGCCTTCAATTATTTACTCACCATCTCTTGTGCCACATTCTCTGGGATCTCCTTTTCCAGGTCAAACGTGAACTCGATGGCTCCACTCTCCTTATACTTCCCTTTTAACTTCTTGTGGTCCTCCACCCACAGTTTCAGGGCTATTGAGGGCTTCTTCCCATCATCCTCCTCAGCTAGTTCAACCCTTACACCTGTGTCCTCAGCAAAGAAAGCATGGTTCAACAGGTCCTTGATGGTGTACCTGGGAGAAGGAACACCAAAGCTCAAGAAATGTGTACTACACCCACAGATGTTACTTTTCTGTAATGTACAGTCTTTGCAGACAGCGTGGACACCAATACATTTAGCTGTGTTACATGAAATCTGATTTGCTGTCTGCAGCAAATATAATCCATGTCAATGCAAGATGTAATTGCTTTGTTAGAGACAAAGTCACTCACTGAACCTAATCTTGCTTCAATTTTAAAAAAGCCACTGGAAGCTAATTAAGGGTTATTTCCCACCCCTCTGTACACAAACTCATTATGTAACAGAAATGAAAGACACCCTGCAGATATGGTGGAGACTGCAGTGCTGCTGACAGCCCAACTGTCAGCGCCACAGCAATGAAGCGGGGGAGGTGAGGCAAGGCATGAAAGACGAGAGGGCACCTTGTGGGCCCTTTTGGCTGGACGCTGGACAACGATGGGGACAGTCACTCACCGCTCCTCTTTCTTTTGGCAGATGCACTCCCCAATAATCTCCTTGATTTCAGGATCCACGACCTTGTTGTAGCTGGCTGGCTTCACTCCCTGAGGAAAGGCAAATATAAACAAAATGCTGAGGACACGCTATGAAGGGATACTGGGTTGATGAAAAATAAAGACTTAGTATCACACACTTGCACCATGTAGGCTTATCGACCTTGACAGTGCACAGCAGCTGCGGTCAGCTTGAATCCATGTCAGCTGCAATGGATTCTAAAAAGCGTGAAAAGCATCCATAGGAACCTCTCAAATCACTCCCGTAGCATAGTCAGCATCGCTTCATTTGAACACTGGACAATGACAGCAGGAGTAGTTTGAGAAGTTTCTATAGACACATTCATACTTCTCAACTGCGAGTGTTTGATGCTCAATAGATTTTGGAGCACTACTTTTAATATGGTGGTATATTCTTAGCTCAGCACTCTGACCTTCCTTACTAATCTATTTTGCTGGACGTACATCTTGCCCAGTTATTCTCTCCATTGTCCAGTATTATCTGTGGTGTTGAAATAACTTGCAAGATCATTCATTCGCAAAAGAGACGTTTAAGATATAAAGTATATGCATCCTCTGGATTAACATTCCTACCAATTATGCAGCTCCATGCTGTATGCGCTCAGGGAGTAGTATAAAGCTATCAGGGTTTCTCTTTGATCAGTCTCCTATTAATATCCTGCAGTGGTCCCTGCAGGGCACTCTAATATGCATATGGTAACAATGCAGAGAACAGTATCTAGAGACAACTGCACTGATGCTGCCCGACCATTAATATGGGCATAGAGGCCTCCTCTTCTTTAAGAGCTGGTGAAAGAGTCATCTCTCAGATTCCAACTCTGCCAAGTCTCAAGAGTGGAAAATCAATACTCTTCATTAAATCAGGAAGTCTATCATGACTTTAGACAGCCCCTAATCTAAAAACAGTTTGCAGTATGCTTTCCTAGCAGAGACACACTCACTGAAATGGAATGGAATACAGCCTTTAGGCTTTCTATAAAAAACAAAGAAGATTTGGACCCCTCCGTGACTCCATATGGCTCATTAGACTCTTCACCCAAGAAATTCAAGGCTGAGGATCCATCTAGCAGAAAACAACAGAGCAGCTCTTGACTCTAAAAAGCTGCATTTCTGTAATTAAAAAGTCCCTGGACTTATTATATTAATAAGGAGCTAAAAAGCATTCCTGACATTACTAGGCCCTATTTTACATGTTCAGTAAGCATGACCTTGGCTTATTGCAAAATGCACACTTGCAAAATGCACAAGCATAGGCTCTTTTAGCAGACTGTAGCATAAACTCTAAATGATAGTTACACAGAATGGCTAGGAGATTATTTACAAAAGTTTTGTTGTTTAATATATAAATATTTCTTGATATTTACTTTCAAAAATGATTAATACATGTATCGCTAAAAGTTGTTGTGACAGCTTAAGCACAACTGTTTTGTCTCAACAATAACAGAACAATGTAAATATTGGTATACTGTCACAGATATTACAAGGTTATTATGGTTGTCTTATTTTGATCATTTTGGGATTATGAATTTACCTATGTGAAATTGTAAGTTAAATATTTACCCCAAATATCTTGCTTCTGAAACAAAATGGAAAAATGTACAGTACAGTACGTGACTTACACTAGTGACTTTGCGGTATATCTGAGCAGCATTCTGACACTCTGAGTAGGGGTATTCTGAGGTGGCCATCTCTAGCATACACATGCCAAAGGCGTAGACATCCACAGCCTCATCATAGTGTTCCTCATACATCTCTGGAGCCATGAACTCTGGAGTGCCTGATGAGAGAAGAGTTCCCAATGGATATATGTCATTTACTTCTTTACTCTAAGAACCATTCATCCACCAAATTACATTACAAAGCTCCTACCTATAACGCTCTTAGCAAAAGAAGCCGCCTTGAGCGTTGCCAGTCCTAAATCCCCTATCTTGACCGAGCCAGTAGGTCCAGTGATAAATATGTTATCACATTTGAGGTCCCTATGGATGATGGGAGGGGTCCTGGTGTGGAGGAAGTGAAGACCTTTCAGGATCTGTCTGCACCAGCTCCTCAGCACTTTTGGCTTCATTACCTTGAAACGCTTTAGGTAACTGTAGGAGAGGGAAACACATTACCTGACAATCATACGAGTTCAGTTTCATTTCTTGAACACACAATAGAAAAGTAAAAAAAAAGAGTGGGTAAGTTCATTTGAACCTGTGTAAAAATCTGTCTATGGCACAATTTGTTATTTTAACATGTGATGTTTTCTTTCCACTTATTTGTCAGAGGAGTTGTCTGTACAATATGTGCCATCAGCACTCACGTTTTTAGTGTTCCTGACGTCATGAGCTCTGTTACTAAAACAATGCACTTCTTCCCTTTAAGGGGTGACTCCCAAAAGTCATAGAAACGGACAATGTTGGGATGTTGAAGACCCTTCAACATCTCTGCCTCCTCCTTAAAGCGCTGACGTTCCACTTTTGACAGCTTGCGATCCTAGAGGAAAGACAACAGATGCAACGGAAAGAAATAATGAATATGCAGCCCTAATGATAAGATCTTTTTATCATATTTGCTTCACAGGAACTAGCAGATGGAAGAGGGTCTCACCTTGGAGGCACTTCCCTGCACATTTCAAATTCATGCATCCAGTATGTTTTTAGCAAATGAGAAATGAGAGTGAGCTAGAGGGAGGTTAGTGGCAGTTGTTGCCCCATATACACATCTCTAATTGGACCATATGTATATCAAAGCTAATGACACTCTACAGTTTGTGTGTGGGGTAAAGAATTAAAATCAGTAGCTTTCTCAACAGTAACAAGATTCAGCCTAAAGGTCGTGCGTGTTTCAAGTATACCAGTCACATTTGACCTCTCATTTTTAATTTATCCAGAAACACAGAAGCTGCATAAAGAGACATTAAAAGGGTGACAAACCACAGTGACTGTAGGAGGAGAATGATCCCACACATTAAAAACATGGTCACACCCACTACACACCACAGCTAAAAAGGTTCATCGATCACTTGCTTGTTCACTCTCCATCCACTATCTATTGCCCCCCCCTTCATATCTGCAATCCGTCTCCTACTCTGCACCCCAACACTAACCACTCCCTCTTCCACAACCAAACATCCCCCGCACACACAGAAACACATCTTCAGTAACTGCTCCTTCTCAATCCCTTTCCTCGCAGACTCTCTGACCTCGCTTTGAGAGCACCTTGCTCAAGGTAGTGGCAAGGGTTTCTTTACTGCGATTCCAATTCCCTTTCTTTTTTTTTTAAACCACCACAGCGACAACTTACATAACAAACACACACGTACACTCAGCACGGACTAGAAACATGACCCCACCCCTCACAGAGACCGACGACACTGACGGTGGAACACAACCTAGCGAGATCTAATCTATTTAATTATTCAACCACAGTGAACTCCCTGTGAGATGAAAAAGCAGAACAAATACAAAATCAGCCTGAATAATCTACAAATTAACAATGAAGCAAGGTGTGCTGTGATACAATGTGTTGAGAAGAGGAGTGATATGATGATAGAGCATGGCATGTGTGTGGGCGCATGTGACTGTGGGATATCAGGTTTGTGTGCAAGTGTGCGGGGGGTGGGGATTTTCACTGCACTCTTCCAAAGTCTTATGAATAATTCAGCTCTGCAGAAAGCCCTTTCTACTGAGGCGAGCTGAGCAATGTGGGGCTGGGTTATACCCATGTGCTCTTTGAGCAGCACATGGACCGAAGTTTACCTGAACCACAGGTCGAAAAGGAGAGACATTGAGGAATGAGACAGTTTAAAGCACATTTTTACCCTTGAACGCTACAGCTTTGCTGCCTTTATTACTGCTTTATCTTTCTTGCTCATCATTTCTGTTGTCATCTTTCAGCACTCCTGCTGCTTTTCCTAAATAATCTCCTTACCCCCATCATATAGTGTTCCCCAAGTCCCAATCACACACTTCCATTTGCTCTCCCACTTCTGTTTTCCCTCTCAGCAGACATTGGGGCTTCTGCATAATTCAGAAGCCACATGTAGGCACAGAGGCGGTGTGCACAGCATGGTGACATACTCAGACAGATACATATGCACACTAAGAAGCTAGAAGAATGTCATTCCCAAGGCGCGCGCACACACACACACACACACACACACACACACACACACGACAATGGATATTACAGAAGCATCAATATACGAGTCTCGTTAACTGCTTCATCGTTACTTTGAGGGACTGAGCTTTTGACAAGTGTGACTCATTATTACATTATAAATTAAGCGCTGCTGCAAACAGATCATCTACTGTGTGTTGATGTATGTTTTCAGAACCTTATGAAGCCTGCGCTGTACATGTGGGTAAAGAAAAGGCTCAGCTGGCCATAGCAAGGTGTGGAGCCATCCAGCCGAGGTTAAACACACATAGAAAACCATACTGTGCAGCAGGGACAGAAAAATAGATTGTGGCATTAGCAGGACACAATCCATAAAGCTGTGTTCCACTCTGCTGCCACCCACTACATCCGTAATGCTGAACTCTATTAGTTCCACAGCCTTGGTAGCTCATACAGCAACACAGACATATCAGAAAGAAGATACCAAAACAGTGAGGCCTCTTGGCGCTATGGGGACCAGGTAAAAGATTAGAATATTAGTCCTGGGAACTTTGCAGGCTAATATGCCATGTAATTGCAAATCTATGTGTTGAAATCAAGTTCTGGCCTAATGTCACATGCCGACGCATGCTGCCCATTTAGGAAGAAAGCGCCTTTATTGTGGCGATGTGGCTGAAATCTGCTGAGCTACCTGAGATTTTAAGGGTAGATCAACAAAGCAGTAAAATAGTTCCCAGTTAGATGAGCAGAGTGTTTTTTAATATGAAAGGCTTTAGCTGTTTTCCAGCCAGACTGTGGGTAAAGCATGGCTCAAGCACCGGCTTTGTTTAGAGTTTGAATTCCAATGAGACATCTATGTTACAGAATGTACAGTATGCTCTGGTAGATGGTATCACTTCAGGTGCCTTATCAAAGTGGAAATGTTGTTTAATACAATTCCTAGCCAAGTACACTTTTAAGTACCTACATTTATTTGAACATTTTTAAGTGTGCCATAGAATGGTAAACTCGATTTCCCTTGGCATAGTTGAATAAAATAATAATAAACGTTTCCTCCTTCAAATGTAAACCTTGTGCATCCAAAATGCCCCCTGAAAAAGGGGCAAATGCCAGTTAGCGCTAGATGTTATGTAACATCCGGGATGTTTACGTTCACAAAGTTACATAGCCTATGTTACAGAAAAGCGGTCATATGAGCTCACAGAGCTAGAGCTGTAGGTTGTGCAGTGCAGTGCGTCTCACAGAAAGTGCTTTTACAGTTATGAAGGAAAGGTAAATATTTTCTGGTTTTCCCTCTGATGTTCTCTGGCTACTCTGCCTCTACTCTGGGATTTATGAAGTTTCCTGATGGACAGATGGCTTTACTTTTTGCTAACTCTACAGGTCGCTAACCCCTAGCTTTTGCTAACAGTAGCTTCTCTTATCAGCTGGCTCTGATCCAGCAGTCCAAAGCTTCTCTAGCTTCTGTTAGAGGTGTAAACACCAACACAGCATCAAGCTTCCAGTCTGGGCAAAATCAACAATAGGATGGCTAGCTGCATGGCTAACTGAGTAGCTAACTTAGCTGTTAGCAATAGTTAGCTGCTAAAGTAACCAGTAACATATAAACTCTGTAAATTGGCAAAAGTTGAGGCAGAGCAGCTGGACGACATCAGAGGGAAAACCAGACAATATTTCTCCATCAACTTCGATCCAGTTTCAGTATTTGTACAGTAATCAATGAGGCCTGGGGCAGGTTCAATCTCAAAATGTTTTGCACTAGTTTGCAACATTTTTGTATTGAACGACATGTTTCCTTGAAACAAGTATTGAACAACTTGTTTCCTTGTCACTGCCCAATCTACAGTGACAAGTTTGTAAAAGGCATCGTGCTTGCGTACACAATAGGGTGTTCAGGGCACCACCGTTTCCAGTGAAATAAACGTTTTACTATGTTTTTTTTTTTTTGGGGGGGGGGGGTTAAGAGACAGGAGCTAAAAGAGTGTTCAGACAGGGTGAAAAGAGTAGAAGAAGAAAGTAGAGTGTATGAGAAATACTATGCGTTTGGTTTTTTTAACCTGTCCTTCCCCGCAGCCTGGCATACAGTGTGATATATAATACCATGTGTTTTTTGAACATTGCATCATATAAGCACCTTTAAAAAATACTTTCTAAGTGCAACATACTGGATAAGGAAACAGCCAAGACAATGGTGAACCTTAGATTCTTGAAGTGTGTGATGCAGGCCTGGAAGCTACTCTGTGTACTGTAGTCAGCATCGATGATCAACCTTGATTATTGGCATATCAAACCATGCAGAGATCAGAGAAAACACTCAACATAAATCTGTCAAAGAAGGAGCATCCTTCATGTGAAAACGTCTCTGGAATATTCAGCTCTCCAACAAACAAAAGTACTAAACAGTCGAGAGCTCTGCAAGAATGTCAAAGGATTTACCATTACATGGGAACTTCTGCCACGAACAGAAGCGTAAAAAACAAAAACATGCTCAAACAACATCACAAACCCAAATGAAAGTGCAAGTATGTGAATATAGGTGACAACAGAAAGATGCAGCAAAATGTCCTTGAAGGGGCCACGTTTTGTTCGATAGAAAAATGTCAAAGTCCCACAGGGATTGAGGGGTCTATAGGATGAATGTCTGCAATTGATTATCCACTAATAGAATCAGATGGCCCCGGAGGGGGGGGGGGGGGGGGGGGGGGTGACAGGCTCACACAAGCACACAACACACAACACACAAGTGAGTGAGAGATGCTGATGGTGTTTTCAAGCAGAGAAACCTTCAAATTATAAAGCTGGAAACCAGTCAGTCAGTCAGTCAGTCAGTCAGTCTCTCTCTCTCTCGATGACATTTATCAAGATGGATTCTTCATAACATAAATTAAATATATGAATCAGAGATTATAAATGATCACGATATTTTGGAATACGGAAAAAACTAAAAACTACTTGTATTAATGGGCCTTTATGAGGGGGTGTTAGGTACCCACTTTTCAACAATCTGCCTTTCTGGACACTCATACAAAAATTGTACAGGACTGGATCATTATTTTAAACCTCACAAAAGTCCCCCTATGAAATGAACAGTTTTTTACTTTTGGCTTATTGTTTACAGTGCACACAAACTAAAAAGAGAAAAGGCCAAAAGCAAACACACAGAGGCAAATAGAACAGGCTTCATTCTCGAGTAAGAAATCTTAAGACCATTATGTTTTCAAACACTGGCCCAGATGGGCCTCATTTATTAAAGTCACCAAACATCTGACCCAAGCGACCATCTAGACACCAACCAGTCTTTCCTAGTGCTATTTATTCTCACAGTAACCCAGATGAGGCCAGAACAGTTCACAGGTTCTTACCCAATATTCATC